TGCGACACTTGGGTCGTTGCTGTCGTCGGACCGACTATGCGTCCGGTCTAACTTCGTACTTCAGAAGCACAGGGGTTCAGTGTTTAAAGTATCTAATTTAGATTGGCCGATTATTTAGTCTTTGCCGACCTTTCCTTATCCGCACCACGGAAGGGTGACTTTGTCCAGAGAACCATTTTGCAGATGCCGGAAGCAGATTCGTAATCAGCTGAGGCAGACGATCGCACATGCATACGTATCTCGTCCCGAATAGCCACTTCGATCTACCATCCACCCTTCCTAATCCATCATGGAATTCTAATTGACGAGCCAGCGTTTCCTTTGTTCGAACCAAAGCCAGGGTTGTCCGTGTCTAATGAATTCGCCATCGCGGAATCGCACGCCGAATAAATTGTTCCGTCACCGCACCAGGACGTGGCCTTGTTCAGATTAAAGGGATTTCATGATAAGGTGGGAAGTAGAAAAGGGGGAATTTACCTAGTCGAAAGGCAAGGCGGGATCCCTAAGGGCGCAAGGCCATGCGCGTTTGGCTGCTCATGGTATGCCAAAGCGGCCTAGCAAGCCTACACCCGCGCCGCTCACTCCGCTGCCCGCCTACCACCTTCTGGACCATAAATTATGATTTTCTTCATCCCTGCACTCCTAACCACGTCTACCCTGATTTCTAATTGGCTGCAAATTCATGGTAAAGTCCACCTTCGAACGCTAACGCTCTCTCTCATAAACTGCTGAAGTAAGGCGGCGAGGGGTAGGCGGGCAGCAGCGCGGGACGGCTAATATAAGTATGTAGGTCGCCAGCGGCGCCTTCGCTGCGAAACGCGCATATCCCCGCAAATTTCGCCTGCTCAACCTCCGGCCTTATCGTCTAAATATCTGAAATGATCTGAAATATCCAAAATATGACGATGCATGCCTGATGATATTGCACGAAACGATTTTCTTAGCATGATCAAAGTGAAGCAAATTTTGTCGAACGGAGCCTTCTCTCTTGGAAAAATCGAGCAAGACGCCAGTGCTGTCTGACAGCCAATAAAACGAGTAGAACCGCTGAAATCGTAGTAATCTTGACATCACATACTAGCTGAACAGCCCTGTAACGCAGGAGCACTTTTCTGACATTGAAGCTCGCGGCCAAAAGTTGCTAGAAGTTGCAATGTCTACAATGAAAAACTCTGGCCGCACGCATAGTCGGTCGTCCGACAGCAACGACCGCAAGTGTCGCATAAACCGCGGTTGCAAATGGAAGGCGACGCGGTCACCCAATGCAAACCCAGACAACACGTGACTGCGCGTGATCGTATTTCGAAAGTCCCACTGTAGTGTGGAATAGTAGCTGCGTATTGATCTGCGACACTTGCGAGTCGTTGCTGTCGTCCGACCGACTATGCGTCCGGCCTATCAATCAAGATGAGGAGACTAATGTTTGACATTATCGCAAAACCTAAGGAGAGCACAATGGGCCCCCAGTCATTCCGACTGGGGGGAATTAATCTGGGTGAGCCACTCATATTACTTGGAACTGAGCTTTAGGAAGAGGATAGTAATCTCCCTCAGAAAGTGAGGTTTTTTGTTCACTATAATTCTCCCCGTTCCTAAATTTGGTCCTGGTGTCACTCATCAGCGGCCCTGTCTTGACAATTTCGTAAAAGCGTTGGGTAATGTTCAGAGTTTGGAATCGCACATGCCTTTATTCGAATAGACGATTAGGCGTATGAGCAAGAATAAAATTAAACGTGCCGATTAGGCGTATCGGCGAGTAGGATTGATACATATCGATTTCTCTAATCTGCCCACGCTTGGAAGAAGCACAACTCTAGAATAATCCCGTGTTACCTGTGAGAGGCAATGCACTCCAGCAAGAACAGTGCGCGCGCAGCGACTACTCTAGCCTTCGGGGATGCTTCCTCCAACGATATGGTGAGTGGACGCACTACCAAGCCTGGATAGGCGTACGATTTCGGGGATGCATCCCCCTACCAGAAGGAATAGCATACGGTCTTCGAGGCTGATGTCAGAGTCCGCGATTCGTCGCACGAATCGCAAGAATTGCAAGTGCCACATTTGAAACACTGAATATGAAACAAGTAGAATCATGAGCAGTCGTCATTCACCATCAAGCAGAAATGGCGGCAGGATTGGAGAGCACCTTGCAGTATTGATCGGGCACTTGTGATTTCTGTGATCCGTCGCGCGAATCAATAAATTGCGAACTCTGACACCAGCCTAATCTTCTCTTCGCTTATATGGCCAGCCGCTTCAGGTTTCGTCTGGTTGTTTTGCTTCCATGATTTGATAGCGATCTCTTGTGATAATATCTTTCTGCGAGACAGCATTCTAGAACTTTTCCCCCGCTTTTCCCCAGACGAGGTAAGCCATTTTCTAAAGCAATCATTCGATGGAAATAGAATGGGATAATTAGGCAAGCACTTCAGACTTGCTCACATGGACTAGACCCTCTACCTGCTATCAAGTACGTCAGCGTCTTAATATGGTTAGTGTTCATTAGGGCGCTCATGTCCTTAGGGGGGACATTCAGAACAGAGCATTCAAAAACCGCTGGTAGGTGACACTAGGACTAAGCCCAGGACTGGGAATAAATACAAGAGAGAACGATGGTTGCTCCAAAATCCTATCCCCTCCCTAAAGCTTAGTCCCAAGTTCTATCAGTGGCCCACTCATTTCAATGTCCCCCCTAACGACATGAGCGCCTTCATTAGTCATGGACAGTGCTTCTTGAGTCGTTGCTCGATTCAATGAATTTGAAGTTGTGTGCTTCTGCCTATCTGCATCCGCCTACTGATTCTTTGTCGCATGCATGAGAAAGGCGCTGAGGGAGCGCGTTTGATCATTACTAAAGAGTAATTAAACAAAGGGGAGATCCGAAGATGGAACTCTCCTTAGAATTTGCTCGAAGAAGTAATGAGATCACCTTAAACGGTCCAGTATTCACGGTGTAAGGATACCAGGTTTTTTCGAGAATATCTAGTACGAAGAAACGGAAGAGGAAGTGGTGTGTCTCTGGTTCATCTTCGAGTTGGGATATTTCCTCAAACAAATGAACATGAATTCCCCTTCGAACACATTAGACTTGTTTAGCAATTTGACGGTGCTTCACCTTGTAGTCGAAATCGACTGCATACCGACCAGATGGCGAATACGTCCAGCTGTACAGGACGTCTTTCCTGAAATGTGGCATATTGGGAGAGTATCAAGCAAAAATTCCGACAGTAAAAAGTACTTTTCGTCTCCTTTTGTAGTCTCCATGCGTCTTTCCGGATCTCCTTTTGTTAATTATATTAATCGATTCAAACGCGCCTCACCTCAGCGCCTTTCTCATGCATGCGACATTGATGATTCTTGCTCATGTCTTTGGGCGTGGGCGGGGAGACATTCAAACAGGGCCGCTGATGGGTGACACCAGGACTAACTCTAGGAAACGGGAGAAACATTAGAGTGAACAAAAATTGGTCACTTTCTTACCCAGATTGCTCTCCTCTTCCTAAGGCTCAATTTCCAAGTACTGTGAGTGGCTCACTCAGTTTAATGTCCCCATCGAAATGAGTGCCATTGTCTCTCCTCTCGTAAAATGCAAAAATTAGTTTGTTCACTTCATTCAATAGCTTTAAATTGTAAACATTGTAATTTCTAGCAGCTTTCGGCCGCGAGCTCCAACGTCAGAAAAGTGCTCCTGTGTTACAGGGCTGTTCAGCTAGTATGTGATGTCAAGATTACTACGATTTCAGCGGTTCTACTCGTTTTATTGGCTGTCAGACAGCACTGGCGTCTTGCTCGATTTTTCCAAGAGAGAAGGCTCCGTTCGACAAAATTTGCTTCACTTTGATCATGCTAAGAAAATCGTTTCGTGCAATATCATCAGGCATGCATCGTCATATTTTGGATATTTCAGATCATTTCAGATATTTAGACGATAAGGCCGGAGGTTGAGCAGGCGAAATTTGCGGGGATATGCGCGTTTCGCCGCGAAGGCGCCGCAGGCCGGCATGCAATACGTTAGACTTTAGCCGTCTGCGCTCGCTGGCCCGCAACTGGCCCTCCCCGTCTTCTTCAGCCGATTTATGAGAGAAGAGAGAGAGCGTCCTCGTTTCAAGAGAAAGGCAGACCTTACACTAATGGGCCACCATCAAGGTAGAGGTAGTCAGGAGGAGGTGAAAAAAAAACCATCGAGTTATGGCTCTAGAAGGTGGTGGGCGGGCAATGGCGTTAGCGGCGCGGGTGTGGTCTTGCTGGGCAGCTGGGGCATACCATGAGCAGCTAAACGCGCATGGCCTTGCGCACTTAGAGGGTCCACCTGTCTTTCGACTAGTTAAATTCCCCCTTTTCTACTTCCCACCTTATCATGAAATCCTTTAATCTGAACAAGGCCACGTCCTGGCGCGGTGTCGGAAAATTGATTCGGCATGCGATTCAGCGCGATGCGCGAAATTTATTAACATGGTAATCTGCTAGAGCTCCGAATGAAGGAAACGCCTGACATCGTCAAATGAAATTTCAAGGTGATTATCCTAGCAAAGTGAACGAATAGGTCGAAGGAGGGAAGACATTCCGGAACGAAAATACGTATACCTGGTATGCGACTGCCTCGCTGATTACACATCTGCTCCCGAGCATCTCCAAAACATTCTTTGCACAAGTGACCCTTCCGTGGTGCTGCTACCTGAGAAGGTTTGACAGAACGAAATATTCAGCCAGTCCAAATTGGACCACTTTAGACACTGATCCTGTGCTTCTGAAATACAAAGCTATTGAAAGCGGAGAGTGCGTGGTGATGGTCTCGGGTTCATATACGGGGTGGCCAAATAAAAAGAGACATTCACTTCCCATTCAAAACGGAATTACTTACCCGCTGCGAAACTGAAATCAACTGAATATTAAAGAGCACGTTATAATCTATCAACAAGCTACACAACAGCCTTCTACACCGACGACATCAGAAGATTTTCCCACGGAAGCATTGTGCACGGTACGAGCTCAACGAGGTCGTTGAGATACCATAGACGATTACGACGTCTCTGAAACGCTGGTCAAAAGCGGTTTTGCATAGTCACAGCTAATGTCTCTGGGAAGCTATTCAACAGTTAATCCATTGAAGAAATTATGTAGCAGCTTCAGGCCGGAGCGATTACGGTAAGCCTCGTTGAGCTCGACGGTGGCGGCAGATGACGTCATATTCTGAAGACGGCGGGGGCAGTGAAGGAGGGCCTGCTTCTGTTTACGGGGGACACCTAAGGAATATTCTGCCGTAAAACTTTCATTAACATCGGCTCCCTGTGCGACGAAAAGTTCGATGATGTGCGCCATGGGCTAAGTGTCTTTTTTTGGCCACCCCTGTATACACCGAAACCTATTTGTTGACCCTCTGATCTGCCTTGGCTGTTTTGCTCTTTCAACAAATCGCTGGAAATGAAAACGTTTTTCCGCTAGAATTTCCTACGAGTTGTCTGGCCGTTAGACGGCTGGATACATTGCACCTTCTTGCACTTTAGTTTGGCCTGAAAATCGGGTTTACTCTGAAACAATCTATTGCCTCGCGCTAGCATAGAATATTGAGCGTTCTTAACATAACACCTGATCTTATACAGTGCGTTTCAAAAGTATGTGCACACCCTCAAAATTCACGTTTGAAAGGGAACCATGAGGTTTCGTGCTATGAAATCCTTCTCAATCGATTTCTCGTAGTCGATAACCTATCAATGGAAGCAAAAGCAGATAATATCGCCTCACTTTCGGAAAAAATTTTTGGATGAAATTTTTTTCTTTGTTTCAAAAGTATGTGCACACTTGAAGAAGATCAGATTTTGGCGCCGAATTTTCCACCGATTTCAATCCGACTTTGCTGTTTTCATTTCGTCATCATGTCACTTCGCGCCATACTTCTTCCTGAAGATGAGCAAGTTCAGGTCAATGTTCTGAAGGTAATGAACGTTCCAATCTAGAAATCGCATGATAACTTGGTC